GACACAGTGTCAGGTTTGTGTCTTACCTGTTGTGAAAGGAAAGGAATGACTTGGGCACAGATTGCGTTCAACCGTTTGACAATTTCCGCCTGCAAGACAAAGAGGTGGGCAAAGAGGGAGAAATTATTATTGACATTTGATCGGCAAGACCATGCCCACACGTCACACACACAACACTGTCAACATCCTGTTTTTGTAAAAAAAAAAAAAAAAAAAAAAAACTTAATTTCAAACATCGACCATTAATGAAAAAATCAGCCACTTACAGTGCCTGAAAAAGAGCTCTGCGTGACCAGCAGGCGTTTCATGAACATGATGAGGTAAAAATGTCAGTATTTTTACAATTATTTATTTATTCAAAGAAGTAGCAGTGCTGCTAAAGAACTGATGAAAATTGATTCTTAAAATTTAGAAAAAATGTATTAACCTCATGAACCTTAGTTTCATTTGTCAATCAAACTAAGTAAATAGAGCACTTTGCTGCCCATATCCTGCATATATTATATTTTAATATTTTAACTGGACATCGCTATGTTTCAATAAGAAAATTTCAACTGGTTTATACAGCTGTATAAACCAGTTGAGATTTTCTTGTTGAAACATAGCCATGTCCAATTAAAATATAAGTGTAATATATGCAGGATATGGGCAGCAAAGTGCTCTATTTACTTAGTTTGATTTATAAATCAAACTAAGTAAATAGAGCACTTTGCTGCCCATATCCTGCATATATTACACTTATATTTTAATTGGACATGGCTATGTTTCAACAAGAAAATCTCAACTGGTTTATACAGCTGTATAAACCAGTTGAGATTTTCTTGTTGAAACATAGCCATGTCCAATTAAAATATAAGTGTAATATATGCAGGATATGGGCAGCAAAGTGCTCTATTTACTTAGTTTGATTTATAAATCAAACTAAGTAAATAGAGCACTTTGCTGCCCATATCCTGCATATATTACACTTATATTTTAATTGGACATGGCTATGTTTCAACAAGAAAATTTCAACTGGTTTATACAGCTGTATAAACCAGTTGAGATTTTCTTGTTGAAACATAGCCATGTCCAATTAAAATATAAGTGTAATATATGCAGGATATGGGCAGCAAAGTGCTCTATTTACTTAGTTTGATTTATAAATCAAACTAAGTAAATAGAGCACTTTGCTGCCCATATCCTGCATATATTACACTTATATTTTAATTGGACATGGCTATGTTTCAACAAGAAAATTTCAACTGGTTTATACAGCTGTATGCAGATGATCTCCGACTAATACTGGGACTACATCACAACATCGTGGCCTGAAAAGACCCATTAAATGTGGGTTCACCGTTGTCGTTTATTTGTATGCAGTCTATGTGGGCTGGGTAAGGTAAAAATGCAGTATCATTACTAGAGGTCCACATCCACACACAAAATGCAAAGACCATATAGAATTTCTATGTCACACTGTAGAGAAGTGGTTTTCACTCTTGCCTTACAGCAAAAAGGCTACAGGTTCGAGTGCTGGGATTGAATATCTGGGTTGTATGGCTCCCTCCCACAGTCTGTACCATGGTTTGGGGGGCAGCCCATGGGCCACATTTTAATTTGGGGATCCTAGCCCTGGTCCGACTATAATGACTTGCCCCAAACCCTGTCTGCCCCCCCGGAGCAGTGATTAGCGCAGCACTCAGTTCGTGTGTGTCCAGTACTAATGACTGGAAAGTACCGTGTAGTATACGTTGTAAATACAAAGAGTAATTTCCATTAGTGGATTAAAAGGATGAAAAAATGTAGATGAGGGAAAACACTAATTGTTCTCTGAAGATTGACCACAGGTGCGAATGGTTGATTATTTTTTTTCCATATGTGGCAAAGTGATGGACCGGGGGAAACCATACAGGGTGAAGACCACCCAACTCCCAAGACTGTCATCGAGTGACCTCCGTGACCCTGAAAAGGATCAAGCTGTAGAAGAGGAGTGTACGAATCAATGTTTCAGTGGCCTCAGGGTCAGACTTTATCAAAAGTTCTTAGGGACGGTACTTTTTTTTAATCCTGTGACTTGAGAATCTACTTCACCTTTAACTAGGGATGTCCGATATATTAACTTTTCTGCTGATCTCCAAAATGCCGATATTGTCCAACCACTTAACTTCCAATTCCGATATCAATCAATAAATGCAGCCGTTTTCCCTAAAAAACGGTGGTAAATGTTTCAAGACCCCACAAGCGATTCCAGAAAATTTGGCAAAACCCAGGCATCACATTATCAGGTTTTCATTACAAGGGGGTAAAATCGATAACGATTCTTACAGATATTTGGTAATTATGCTAATATCGGTCGGCTGATACAACAACCTTTAACAACTACAATTAACATATTGTCTGTGTAAACCTAGTAGATTGACCACTTTTAAACAACGCGATTTGACAATGAAAAGACAATATCATTCAGTATAAATCGCCGAACCTTCAGCCAGTCTGGGAGGTTAATTTACGACTGCATTTCCCGATCATTCATCAGCAGCCGTGTACTGGATGAATAATAAATATAAACCCAGACCTTATGAATTATGGGAGAGGTTCTGTCACAGCTTATCAGCGGCATGTTTGATGTATGTAACCTGTGCTGAGGTGAACTTTGTTCTGCTATCAGTGCTAACAGAAAGCCCCAGAGGCCACGAGAGTAAACCCACCGATACAAACCTGTCAGAGTGAAGCTCAGGCAACAGCGTGGCAGGTGTGTGGTGCGAGCACAAACATAAAAGCGTGAGCACACACACTCTCTCTCACGTGCGCACACCTACACTGATGCACACAAATCCACAGCCTCCTCTGTATTCATCAGATGTTTCTACCGAACCCAAGGGTTGGCTTTAAAGATTATACAGCACTCTCTCTCCCAACATCAGTCAGGATTTTTTTTTTTTTTTTAAAAACAGGAAATTGCCTGATCCACTGTCCCACAGGGAGTGTGCTGGCAGTGCAGCACAAACACGCAGACGAAAAGAGTCGGATCTCACAAAGAGAGAGACAGAGGAGGAGACTCACAGGATAAATATCCTCGCCGTTTGAATGATCACATAAATAAAGGCACGTGAAAGAAAACGAATTATTCTTTCTTTCTATTTCTTTCTCTCTAACTGTGGCGAACATGTGGTTGCATTTTCAATTCACAAGGAAAGAATAGCTATCAGGAGATAATGGAGACTAAGACCAGCTCGGTTCACCTGGTGGCCAGGATGGAGGATGGTGGAAGGTGAAGATGAAGTGAGGAGTCGAGGAAGTGAAGGCGGACGAGTTTGAATATGTGCACTCAGCCCTGGAAAGCAATAGTCAGACAACAAAAGAGGTGAGGAAGAGGGTGCAGGCAGGGTGAAGTAAGTGGGTGGAGGTGAGTGTCAGTAGTGATGTCTGAGAAACAAATAGCATCTGCAGCTCATACTTGTAGCTACACTTTGTGTGGCCGAGGCATGACTGCTATCAGAGAAGCAGTTCATGCGTTCATTTTCAAATGTGCGATGACAGACGGCCCTGACAAAATATTTGACATAAACAAACAAATGTAAAAAAAACACAGTTGCAGCTGCCTGTGGATTAATAACGATTAATCATGATTAACCAAGATATATATATATACATATATATATATATATAGATATATATACATATATATACTTATATATACATATATATACTTATATATACATATATATATATATATATGTATATATATATATATGTATATATATATATATGTATATATAAGTATATATATGTATATATATGTATATATATATATATATTGTATATCTATTTTTTGATTTTAGCAAATGGCTACAATGAAACAAAGACTGACAAATTTAAAGGGGTCTGAATACTTTCCGTACCCACTGTACATATATGTATATGTATGTATACATAAATACATGTTCAGGGAGACAGTGATAGGATAGCAGACAGATCGAATGGTTCATGTTGTCACATCCACTCAGACATTAGAGGGGTTACCAGACAACAACACATTTGATCATCTTTTGATCATTTTTATATTTGATCATATTGTAATATGATATCATATCATATTATAATATTGATCATATTTGATCATCATTTGATCATCGCTTAATTTCCAGCTTATTTTAAATGCAAAAGGAACTCAAATTTTCCGGCTGTCTACGCACACAAAAAAACAACAAAATATAAGCAGATGCTTCTTAAAAAAAAAACCCACACAAGTTGTTGCAAGTCATATCTTTTGACCTTTCATTTGATGAAAGTAGTCTTAAAAATAATAAATAAATACACATTAGTACACGTGCAGGAATAAAAAAAGATTTTTCTGTATTTTTAGTCTTCTGATGAAAATCCAAATAATTCTAATGACAAAGGATGAAGCGAAAAACATAGAAAATAAAAATGATGTTTCCATGTTTCCAATGATTTTCTCATTGTTGAAGGTCAACTGTGGTTATCAAAGCTAAACATAAAAAAAACAATAAGAACAGAGTGGATTAAATGCATTGAGGAACAGACAGAAACAATGTGATTCTAATAAATTCATGGCAAAGGAGCCCATCTGTGTACCTCGAAACCGACTTCCTTTGGAATCGTTTCTGACACCTCTATTGTCTAAACGTTCAAACACAGCACACAAAAGTCGTGAGACAACCCTGAACCTCCGGTCGATTTATTTTGAAAGGCCGACCCTGAGGTGTTAGTACTGAGATAAAAACAAAAGTCCTGGAGGAGCAGAGGAAATAGAGATGCCTGGCCTCCAGTCAACACAACCAATTCCAGGTGACATTTTACGTCCATGACAAACAATCGTGACTGTCGGCCAGGGTTCACTGCTCTCAGCCTGTTTGGCAAACACACCAAAGACACCAGAGTGAAAAGGCAGAGCTCTCAGGTGTCCTTCCTCCAAAAAACAACCAAAAACAAAAAAAAAACAAAACAGTCCTTTTGTTCACGCTGACCTGTGGAATTTAACTGGCCTTCTTCTGACCTGGATCTGTCACTGTTTGTACAGTGGGAAAAAATAAGAAAATGACCAACTACAACTTCCTGTGAGTTACACTCAGTCCATAGACAA